CCCCTTTATGTTTCGAAACTAGTAGAGGTTTTCTCATTATACTCACGTGAGTAACCCGCAATTTTAGTTTATTTCTCATTCAATATTTTCAGTAAGATTTTCCAGCAAACAAGATATCAATCAAAATCTATATATATATATATATATAATATATATATATATATTATTATATTATTATATTATATTATATATATATAATATATATATATATATTATTATATATATATACAAAAAGAAAGCCATGATAGTGACACTATTTATAACTCACGGCTAAATTGATTTGGATGAAAATTGGTGGGGAGGTAGCTTAGAACCAGGAGACGAAAATAAGATAGTTTTTATCAAATACTTTTTTCTTTTTACCGAAAATCACGAACGGGAATGGAAAAAACGGGATTGCGCCCACGAAGTCGCGGGCAGAAGCACTAGCTTCTACTAAGCTATATAATAACTAGTGACTTGATGATAAGGCTATTAAAATAAAGGGTCTAGAAAATACAAAGAAATAAAACAATGACATAAAAAAGCGCACGTTTTATTACAGTAGGTATCACTATCTCATACATATCAGTTTATTTCATACTTTAGGTAACTCCAACATTTAAACATTGTCCAATTCTTACACCCTACGCTAGAGCGCCTCTAGTCAACTGAAACTATACTAATATACACCTAAACTTCATTACAATAGAGTTTAAAATTACTTTATCAAGGCGAATCTTAGACGACAGGGAAAAAAGATACAACTAGGTAAGTACTGAAAGGAGTTAGTTACGTTATTCTATATTTAAATCATTTACAATAATTTTAAGGAGTTTATATTTATAATAATGAAGATCACAAATTTCTACTTAATGTCTAAGGGAATAGAATACTATTTAGTTTGTTTTGTAAATAGCATAACGTGGTCGGTTTCCCAATGTTCTTATTATAATTTGAAACTTATTATTTTTTTTATAAAGTTCAATATTGGAACATTAAGAAACCTTTATTAAAATAAATTTCACAAGAAGGAGATTACTTTTCTATTCGCATACAAAATATTTGAAACTTCAAATAGTTATATTATTCAACGTTGAATAAATTAAGCCATTTTGATATTGCTACAAAAATATAATTATGTATAAAATTCGACATCATCATTTTTATTCAAAAAATTAAATACACATTTTTGAAGTGGGTTTAAAAATATATAATAATAATATTAATACGCTATTTATACAAGATTCAGCTAAAAGTGAGGCCGTGCTACAAAAATCTAAAACCTGGATACTTAAATACCGCATACATTTAAAGATTTACTAAAAAAAATGTATTCTATCTTTTTCTTATTTAAATTACGAAGCATTTCGGTATCCAGGCACAAAACAGTTTTGATACTTAACGATTAAATAAACAAGTTTGATAACCATTGCATGTTGGGTTCAAGAAACAGCAATTATGTCGATTATTAAAGTGCAATGTACCACAAAATTGTATTATAATCGTTACGTACCTAAACCGCAATGAAAAATCGACTAAGTATGTATAATAGGCTAATAGTATTTTTTGTCTAAATAATGTAATAATTTTATTAAAAAGAGAAAAGACTTTATACACTTTACAACGTTTTAGAATTATGCTACGCAATCCATTCATTTTATTTAAATGCATTATTTTAAATTTAAATTTTATTATAAAAAGTCGCAAAGTTTGCATTTTTTGCATAAATATTTTTTTTTTTGTTATAATTATAATAGCTATCAGCGAAGTCTGAAGTTACGTTAGTTTTATACAAGGTAAAGCTGTGAACACCGTCGTATTAATTTATAGTTTATAATAACAATTTATAAGTTTAAGTATAACTTATAATTACGTACCTAATTATTTAAAACAACTGGCGTAATTATCAAATTATTTCATTAGGTGTACAATTTTACGCTCATTTTAGACGGTGTTCGAAATCTTACATAATTATTATGCCGTTGAAATGTATATTACAATTCAAATAATTATACAATTCAAAAACTGTAATATACGTTTCAACTTTGAGTTAGTGATAAGTATTATAGAAAATAATTTTATTCCTATTTTATTTATTTCGAATATCATTATATTTTTCGTCAGATAAAAGACTAGACGAGCAAGAAAAGAAAATTTTATTAAAAGAAAAAATAATTAAATAAATTCAACAAATATCAGAAAATGTCATAGTATTTATTTTTTTATAAACGAACATTTCATAATCTTCAGCTTTTCGCACTAATTCTTCTCTACATAATTGACAATATATTAATTATTATTCAGTATAAAAATGATTTTGTATGTGTCCTGCCTTCCATCTGACGAGTTTTTAAGCCCTTGTCACAAAGCATCATTTTGATTAAATTATATATAATTTTGAATACAGATTAATTCACAATAAAACTTCATTTTTAGACAACAATGTAAACTGTAACTTGTTTCCTACGCCAAAAGGTAAAAATTTGTGTAAACTAAATACGAAATTGCAAAATGCGCAGTATAATTTATGCTGCGGTGCAATTCAATTTTAAAACAGGGTGAGTCCTTAGTGACAGCGATCAAGTGTCCGGGTATTATTTGCAGTATTATTATTTTTGTTGGTAGTAGTTATACACAGCCCAGAATAGGAAATAGTGGGGAATCAAGGAGTGATCTATCTCCCTTCGGTTTATTTTCTTCTAAAACAATGTTTGTACCCAGATAAATGTCTCTATAAGCACTAGTTCATGGAAATTAAAACACTATCATGTATCATAATTTGGTCAAACAATTAGTTGGGTACTTGGCAAATAGCCAAATTCAATACTCTTTTAGAACTATCAAAAACGACAGTTTTCTACGAATTTTAGGTATACGAGATTGTGTATTGTGACGTCACATGCTTTTAGTGTCAAACAGCGTACTTATTTCTTAAAAAATTGCCGGAAAAATACTAAAATTAAGTTGGTCAAAAATCAATTATTGAAAGTATGATTATGTTATTGTATTGAACAGTCGAAACACCTAATTAATTTTTGATTAACCCAACTTTCCATGTATTGAATAATGACACTTAATTTAATAGTTATATTACAAATCCCACAGATGCATGTCCATCTTAAAATCCGAGGGTCGCTGTCACTCAAACCATCCACTTCAATGTAGGTACCATTGTGACAAAGGCTCAATGCTAAGTGCAAATACCTAGGAGTACTAACTGGTACTTAAAGTACTATGTAGGAGTCTAGCTTCTAGCGACGGTAGTGGAGAAGCCTATCCTAAAAGGCAACTTAGACATTACATAGGTACGACTAGATTTAATGTACTTTCACTATATTTATTATAAACTGCTCATAGTTAGACGTGTTCTAGTTTAGAAATTATTGCGATATCTGGAATCTAGTTTTAGTCTAAAACAAAAAATCTTGTAAAGTATCAAATGCTTAAATTTTTCTTTGTGTATTGTAAATAACATACAACAATAACAAACTGAATAAATAAAATGTACTTAGTGTTTAGTGAATTAATGTGAGATGTATAAAATAATGAATTCACTATTATATATATAATTTACAAACTATTCTTCTTGTACTGAATTAAGGTGTATTTAAAATTCGCAAATATAAAATACTAAGGCGTTGCCTAAGCTAAAATCATGGGTTTTATCGGCCTTAGTAAATAAAATCTAAATCTCAAAAAATCTAAGACTAACCAAAACTAATTTATAAAATTATACAAATGGCAAAATATTTTGATCTTAGAATTTAATGACGGACTTAATTTTTAACATTTTATTTTAAATTGTTCAACCTCTTCATAGTTTAAAATCGTATGTGCCACACAAAATGGCGCCTGAACTCAAAATGGCCGACACGATGACGTAAAGACTTAATAAATTACTCACACAAAAATGAACTATAGGCATTTTGATTTACAACAGCTATTTAAAAGCAGCTAAATATTGTTATTTTTAATTTTCAAACTAATTTTTGATATTTTGTGGTCCAGTGTATTTAGAAATTGTTTTATATAGAATAATAAAATGTAAATCATTTTGTAACGAATGCAAGTACGGTATGAGTGAGTTAATTTATTGTCTAATCACTTGTCAACACTCGATGTTAACTACGGAATAACTAGGTAAGTATTATTATATTTGGCCTATATTTAAATCTAATTTAGTTTTCGAGTAGTCAACAGATCTAATTACCTATTTATGTGGTACTATTTCTTAAGGCAACAGTTAAGAAAAGCGTACGCTGGCCAGCTAGTCAACCTATCCCATTCTGTCAAATATCTCTAACATTTCCAACTTTATTGTATTGACATAGAGTCAAACATCCAATGAATAAATTTGACAGATTGGTGTAGTATAATCTGCTGGCCACTGCACTATACATACTTCTTGTAGGAAAGGACCAGTTTGCAATTTGGTCCTTCGAGCCAAAATGGGATCATCGGTTTATTATTATCTTGTAGGTCACTCAGATCTGCGAACTAACGAATCTACAATAGAGTTACACTAGTTTTGGTGTCACAGTCTACAAACATCTAGAAATGCATTGGAGTTTTACCTTTAAAAATAATTGCATTATATTTACTACTGCTCCATACTTTAATCGTTTACGTGTAAAGAAATAGTGACTTAATCCTGGTGCATATTATTACAAAAATATCATCTTCCTTCCATTTGTAGTTTTCTTTGATGGCGTCTTCATTGTCTACAGTTTTCATATCTTTATATAAAACCTTTGTTTGTAGTTCTGTCAGCACGAGTTATAAAACTCAATAATCGGCAACGGCATTGAGGCGACTCAAGTCATGTTTAGGAACATCCATGATCCATATCTCATACTTATCAGTCCTTAGATTCACAACTACAAAACAGAATCTTAACCATACTTCAAAATTCTTCATATCCAACCTTGGATACTGATTCCATCACAAAATCTTCAACAGAATCTGGTCCTTCGATCCAAAACGGTGACACCAAAACTGGTCACACAGAGTCTATAGAATTACCTAACTGTCTTGAACCGCTTGACCTTGATGGTAGCTTTGTTCCCGCAGAGCTTGAGAACGGCTGCGACTCCTAGAAGATCAGCAGAGGATACATCCTTACCGTCCACTGTTATGATGAAGTCTCCGCGTTGGATTCGACCGTCTAACTCTGCTGGGGTACCGGGTAACTGGAAGATAGAAAAAACAATGGTAAATTAGATAAGATTAGAATAATATGAAGGTGGTTTGGGTAATGGAAACTACTAAGTAATCAAGAGAATGAAAATGATTGACATTATTAAATTCTCAAAACTTAGGGATAAAAGGATAATAAGAATCATCATCATAAATGACTAGTGACAGTAGTGACAGTCTAGTGCTGCTCTTAAGACGTACTTGTAATAATTTTCAATTTGGCAAGAAGGTTGGACATCATCAAGTGTAGAAGGATCTGATTTATCATCGTTCGGTTCTCGGTTGGTCGTGATTCGGTGTTCTGATTGGCCAGCTCCAATGTACCAACCAATCAGTGCGCAGAACGCCGTCTCGTTTCGATTACTTTAAACGTAAAACTAACTCGTACTAGTTAAGCCCTTTGTTAACCCCTCGAGCGTCCTTATGAGCACCCGGTGGATCATAAGAGAAAATGCTCCATGCTGCTTTCTCTTTTATAAAATCTATTATTAATGTTTTGTTTTTATGTTGACTGTATTTTTTATTTCTATTGATAATGATCCTTGTTTTCGTGTGCCAATGGCCAAATAGATGCATTTTCTTTCTTTATTTCTTTCTTTCTCCAAATGTCACGTGTGCACCCGTTGGATTATAAGGAACGCGGACGCTCGACGGGCTAAATAAGTAATCTCTCAGTCGATTCTTGTGACGTGGGAGAATAGGTGTCGTGAAGTTTGCTACTCACAAGTTGTCCCAGATAGACGCCGGGTGCCTGTACAGGTGCTACACAGGTGAGTCCGAGCGCCTTCCCTGCCTTGCGGGTGAGGTCTATTTCCACCTCCTCGTACTTCAGCGGTTCTGGTCGGTGGACTGTCATTTTTAGCTGGAAAGGATAAAGATAATGATAGAAATACGTTTGGAATTTAGAAAGTGCAAATCATAAATTAAGTCCGCGCATATAACAGTTAGCAAGCAATCTTTCAGAATTAGGAAAACACTTTAATGAAAATTGCGATGGGAACAGCACTGGTCGTCCTATAGACAGGTATGAAAGTTGGTTGTATCTAGATAGAGCTCTTGGTTTTTTTTAATGTAAATAAGTGCATTTGATATCTCTAATATGTCTTTTCGAACGAATATTCCCAACATTGTGGCGGTTGCAGACGTCATATATTGTGCACCAGCAGCTGTAGCCAAATGCCATTTAGCGCTTGTCTACATGTAGAGTAGAAAACCAAATTATATGGAATTGACGTAAATTTTGACACTTGTTAGTGTCATCCCCATACATTTAGTTTTCTTATCTACTCTCTCTGTAGACAATCGCTAAAATGTCGTTTGGCTAAAGGCACTAATTGAAGAGTAACCTATGGAGTTTCTTGCTCGTTCATCTCCATAGGAATCTACGCCTTGGAATGAGCAAATAGCTTCACTTTAAAATTTTTATTGTTGACATTCAAAAGTGCCTTCCTGGTCTAATTGAAATAAATGACTTTGACTCCATTATGGTAAATGCTTTCCATCAGGTGGAACGTAAGATATTTTGCCACCTACGTAGATGATATAGAAAAACGCCGTACCTTAGCAGTTTTCTGCTTGATAGAAAGGCAGAGTCGTTCGTGTGCCATTTCCTTGGTGATGGCTACTCCATTACACTCCAGGATCTGGTCTCCAACCTTCAGCCTCCCGTCCTTGGCTATCGCACCGTTCTTGTATATGTCTAAGATGATCGCAGATGCACCCTGAAAATTTAAATTTTATAGAGATTTCAGTTCTCTCCGCTGAAACTTGTAAAGCCTCTGGTGTTCCAGGTTCTATGGGCGACGCCGATTGCTTACCATCAGGTGATCCGTCTGATCGTTTACCGGCTTATGCCAGAAAAAAAAAATTGTGTTGTCATTCAAACAATCAGAATTAGAACTGACAGATTGTTTTATAGGTATCTGAATGAAACCTAAGCGTGTTAAAAAAAAGGCGTTCTAAAGCCACTTAGAAATGATTGAAGCACCAAAACGTCAGTGGGTTATGTATGTGTGCGTATGTAATGGGTTACAACATTACCAGACTTAAGAAAATGACAGATGTCCTTCGTGTCAATGTGTGTATGTTTCGCGTGTAAGTCTATAGTAGCTAGGTGCCACAGTCGTTGTTTCTTAAGACTTTTCAATGTCCATTGGTAAACCTTTTAATTTTTATCAATCGACAAATGACACAAAAGTAGTCAATATATTTTCCAGGCTTATTAAATTTCATTTTCCAATTCCTAGTTAAGGTATTTTTAGTTTGACTCTACAGACGTAGAACAGTTGTTACACAACGTTTTTGTTATTCAGTAATCAGCAACTGAATGTATAGGATATAATGAGAATTAAATGGATTCTATTAATTTATATTTATACTAGCTTTTACCCGTGGCTTCGCTCGCGTCCCAAAAGTATAAAAAGCCAATGTGACATATACCAATGCACACAGCGCCATCTATACCAATACTTTGGTTTTCCCTCGGGAATATCAAATTTTTCAGGGATAAAAAGTACCCTATTATTTAATCCGGACTTCTAACTTTACGTCTGCAAAATTTCAAAGCAATCGGTTCAGTAGTTACGGCGTTAAAGTGGACCAAACAAACAAACTCACTTTCCGATTTATAATATAAGTAAGGATAAGTAAGGATTAATACTGGATTCAGACCTCTAAAATAGCATATCACTGAACCTAATCTTCCACTAAAGCCATACTGTAATGGACAAGCTGATAACCATGATGCTACTTACATTGATTAGGGTATCGCTGCCTCCGAGTAGTAACACCCCGAGCACTTCGTTAGCGGAGTTGATCTCTATCACCGTGTCCACGTTAGGGATGATCGGTGCTGTGGACGGGTCTGGTGGTGGTTCCACTAGAAAGAAGATAGAAATGTGTGAAGTCTAGATTCAGATTATTCAACTGCATCAAACTTCATTTTCCTGAAACTTTACTGTAAAACCTGTTAAGTGTGATTTTTTTTATGGAATAGGAGGCAAACGAGCATACAGATCACCTGATGGTAAGCGATTAGCGCCGCCCATGGACACCCGCAATACCAGAGGAGTCACAGGTACGTTGCCGGCCTTTTAAAAACGCTCTTTTCTTGAAGGTTTGAAGTGAAAGTCAAAGTCAAAGTCAAGTCGACAGATCATTCCAGTTTTGCTGTGCGAAGCAGAAAGCATCGTGAGAAGCACACAGTTGTGGCCTGCCAACCATCTATATGATGGGGATGCATACGCTGTCGTGAGGGTCGATGGCGATACTCATTTTCTGTTAGATTAGTTGTCAGAAGGTTTTTTCTGTAGGTATAATAATAGTGGTCATCATAATAGAAATCTTCATTAAGGAACAGGATCTTAACATGGCAAATCTCTATTAAGATTGGGGCTGCAGGGAACCACGAGTGTTCCCGGGGCTCCGGATCAAAGCAGGAGTAGTAACGGGGTGGTATTTAGTCAGTAAGGGTCTGACACTCTTTCTCGCCTCACTCAGAGTGGGAGGAGTCATTCGATGGTTTTACCCCTCAAAAAGACATCCCCTAAAATTGTTCATACAAAAGTAGTCTGTAAACATCGGAAAAAAGGTCTATACTGTAGTTAGTGGAGAGAGGTCACCGGTGACCGCTTGGGGATAAATGGGGATCTTAAGGCACTACCACTATCTTAAGGGACTACGCTGGGGCCCTTGAGCTCCCAATAATTCAGAGTCCTGTTGGAATGTTTCTTTTTTTAACGTTGTACCATACTAGGATTTTCTCCTATATTGTTGGTACATTTACACAGATCCGAAAGTACGATTTGTGGACCACACAGAGATTTGCTCGGTACGGCAATTGAACCTGCTACAGCAGCCGGTTGCCACGCAACGTGTAGCAGATATGTGTCCGTCGAAGAAATTGTTGGTCCTTCCGTTTCATCATTCCATTCCATTCGCCAGAGCCCCGAGTGCTCATATGATAAAGAGGATATTGTATAAGCATACTTTATGTTATAAATACTTGCGAGTTACCTTTAACAGGTGAAGGTATGGGTCGCGGTGTGTGTGGTCGACTGGCGGCGTCGTTCTGTGCTGCACGACTCGCTGGTCGAGACGCTCCACCTGGACCATCAGCACCTGTAATACATACAAACATTATTTTAGCTTTATTAGTCTTTCGTTATAGTGTTAGGAGAAGAAGCATTTGAGGCAACTAAACTACATGATGCATGTATTATAACAAATTTTCGGCGGCGAGACATCCGTGCTCGCCGTCCGCAGGCCCGTGCTTACGGTGGCCGGAGATCGTCTCGCGATCCCCGACGCCCGGAGTGTCTCTCGTGACGGCTAGGTCGTGAGGAGATTTGTTCCCTCACGCGCTCCGCCTCCTCTTAAGCTAGCATGACCGCATCGCAGAAGGAAGAGACGGCATCCCAGTCCCCCTCGCTTCGTACCATGGTCTGAACCAGAGCCAGACGCGAGAGGTCGCCATCGCCGACCACATTCCTGAGGACACGGCGGTGTCTGTGTCAGTCCACGCAGGAGCAATTAGCAAGGCTAGCAACGAACTTATAACACTTCTGCAGCTGAGGATGTTGCAACGGTACTGATTGCTTACCATCAGGTGAACCGTATCCCATACAAAGAATACAAACGGATTAATGCTGTCACTTAGATATATTCTTCTTTATTGCCTCAAGTCACTACATAGTATAAAACAAAGTCGCTATCCGCCGTCTGTCTGTCCCTATGTATGCTTCGATCTTAAAAACTGCGCAACGGATTTTGATGCGGTTTTTTAATAGATAGAGTGATTCTTAAGGACTCTTCTTAAGGACGATTACATTCTTATCGCCTGGGCGGGTCGCTAGTATACAATAATTTGTCAAGCCCTTTTCTTGTCCGTTAGAAGCATGTTCCATTTTTTATAACACTGCCTCGTTGTCTCGTTGCCAGAATGCCTCGTTGGCCGAGTGGTCGCAAGTGCGACTGCTAGGTAAAGGGTCTCGAGATCGATTCTCGGGTCGGGAGAAGTATTATTGGGACTTTAATAAAAATCTATAGTAGCAGGAAGCAGGAATTGTGCCCGATATATGGCAATAGGCTCACTCCTAATGTAATAACATGGAACTGATAACATAAATAATGAAAAGTGGGTGTTACATTGTACAGTGGCATTAAGTGCTGTAATGTGCTTCTCTGCCTACCCCTTCGAGGTTAAAAAGTGTGATGGTATGTATGTTTTTTACAACATCATGATCTAAGTAATAAACTTACCACTAGGTGTTCCTGGGGTGGTTGCAGTAGCTGGGGACTCCTCGCCTGGCTCCTTGAGGTTCGGAGTGCACACTGTGAGGACCACTACTCCCTCCGTCTGCTTCAACTTGGCAGCCGCCTGGAAAATGACGTGGTGATCAAATTTCAAAGTCAAAGCATTTATTTTAATTAAACCATAATTTGGTACTTTTGAGACGTCAATAAATACAAAATAAACAATAGTCTGTCAATCATTATTTTTTTATTATTTATTATTTAATCAGTCCGTCAGTGAAGCTAGGTGAAGCTAAGTGCTCATTCCAAAATATAGATTCGAATGGAGAAGAACGAGCAAGAAATTCCATTCGTTACTCTTTTTAGAAAAGTATGTTCTACAATGTCTCTGACTCTGATACATATTCCAATACTGTACGTATATGTGAGAACAATGCAAAGACAAGCTTGACGCATTACACTAATTACAAAACTTACTAAAATAAGTAAATAAATAAAAAAAAAACATTCTCGATATGATCAGGAAGACGAGATCAAGGACGAGGCATTTCTTCAATAGTTCTTTGTCCCTACTGTGCTTTTCTTTGAGGGGGAAAATCATCCAAGACTCTTACTGACTAAAAACCACCCCGTTCCTACTCCTGCACTTCAAGCCGGAGCCCCGGCAACCCGTTAAGTCCGCGGCTCCGTATCGGCATCAGCCCTGTTGGGCCCCATCTGTGGTGGTCTGATGGCTCCTTGAGGCGCGCGCGGAACGCGACGCACCGTACACTCGGGGCCCGTGCTTACGGTGGCGTCCCTACAGTGCTTGAAGTCTAATATGAATTAAGTACTTACAGCATCATAACTGCAGTTCAACAAGGAGTCCCTATTCACAGCCAGCAGCATGTCTCCGATCTGTAGACCTCCCTGGTAACAAAATGATACAAAATTAATTATTGTTATCGGCTTTCTCATCATCATCATCAACAGCCTATAAATGCCCACTGCTGAGCAAAGCCTCTTCTCACACGGAGAAGGTTAGAGCATTAATCACCACGCTTGCTCAATGCGGGTTGGCGATTTCAAACTTATAATTAGAAATTATAAGTCCAGGTTTCCTCACGATGTTTTTCCTTCACCGTTTGTCAGTGGTGTCTAAATAATCTTAGAAAGTACATACAACTCGGAAAAAGTCACATTGGTACTTGCCGTTGGTAGGTTTCGAACCTGCACCCTCATGCATGAGAAGTGGGCGTCTTAAACCTCCGGGCCACCACGACATTCCGGGTCACCACGACATTCTCACGTAAATGATTAACGAGGAACTCGACTTGTTTCAAGCTATTCTAGTGGCTCATATTCATGACTAGCTTTCCGCGACTAGTGACGCAGCGACTGTCGCACTGTTACTGTATAGTATATACCATATAACATATCAGTATCTACATAATATCAAGTGTTTAAAACAACGACCTACATAATTGATTTGCCTAAGAACACAGGTAACAACTCATTTAGAATTAGTTGATTAAACCAGAAAGAAGGTGCAAAACTCAAAGTACATTTTTAGGTACGTGTGCTTTTCAAAATTGATTATTTTTTTTAAATTCATCTTTACCTTTTGGTTTACTTTCAGATTGAAATTGCAATAGTCGTACCTACTAAAAGTTGCACAACAGCTGATCATAAAACCACTGATCTAACCATAGCTAACATAACATAATATCACGTCTTTTATCCCCGAAGGGATAGGCAGAGCTGCATATTACAGCACTTAATGCCACTGTTCAATGTAACACCCACTTTTCACTATTTATGTTATGAGCATGTAATAGGGGGTGAGCCTATTGCCATATACCGGGCAGAATTCTAGACTCCGTGCTACTACTGAGATTTTTTTTAAAACGCAGTAGTACATTGCCCGACAATGATTAAAAGTATAGTTACAAAAGGATACAAATAGAATTGATTCGTGGGTTTCTTTCTAACTATGTTTGAGCAGAGATCTCTGGTTGTGTATAGTTCAATAATAAATAACTAAAAGTTGAGGTAAATACCTATTTGAGTTAAATTAAACTGTGAGTAATGAGTGGCCATTAATCTCGGAGCTTGTTAATTAGTTCCATTGTTAACTGGTCAGCCATTGTTAAATTGTAGCTGTCTATTTGTAATTGTCTCAGCTTCGATCACCGGGTCAGATGATGTTATTGGATTTCCCATTTAAAAAAATTTCAATAATCGAATGGAATTTGGGGTAGACTGTTAGCTATGATTGCCCCGTTGGCCGAATGGTTGCAAGTGCGACTGCCGGGCAAGGGGTCTCGGGTAAGATTCCCGGGTCGGGCCAAATATGCACGGAGTCTGGAAGTGTGCCCGGTATATGACATGGCATATATACCCCTTCGGGGATAAAAGGCGTGAAGTTATGTATGTTCTATTGAATTTCTGTTAAAACCATAAACCGATCTGGAAATTTTGAATTGAGACCCATTATCAACTTGGACCGTTAATGAATACTAATTGTTACTACCTAATGGCCAACTTTCCGCAACAAAATAATCAATTAATATCAAAAATAATTCCTATATCATCATACATGACGCAATTAACACTACGATCGTACGTCATCTCGACACAATGCCGTAATGTTTTGACAATAGTACGATACTTGCATGGTCTATTAATACAACCTTCATTTGTTTTGTTACTAGGCGCGCTTATGTATTGTATTTTTGCAATATAAACATGTTTATGGGATAGCAATTCGACATTATCAATAAATTCGACATTATCAATAATTATCCTTACTTATATTATAAATCTGAAAGTGAGTTTGTTTGTTTGTTCCACCTTCACGCCGTAACTACTCAACCGATTGCTTTGAATTTTTGCAGACGTAAAGTTAGAAGTCCGGATTAAATAATAGGGTACTTTTTAACCCGGAAAAAAAATGATATTCCCGAGGAAAAACAAAAGTATTGGTATAGATGGCGCACACATACACACATAGGCTACTTTTTATTGTTTTGTGACGCGAGCGAAACCGCGGCTAAAAGCTAGTTTACCATAATTTTATCCATAGAGAACTTTGCAATAGGCTGACGGTACGTCCTGCATGAGCGATTTACAAGTGAACGTGATTATGAAGTAGCGACATTCAATGCGATGCGGTGCGACGCCGATGTCCTACGTGCAAGTGAATTTTTCGCTTCGTTTTTGTTTCCGTCATTAATAATAATTAAACAAACACATGACAGCATCGCATCCGCTTACCATCAGGTGGGCCGTGTGCTTTTTTGCAACCGTGGTATAAAAACAAATATGACAGTTCGCGCGAAAAATCTAACCAACGTCATTTCACGCCGCGCCGCACCGCATCGCACAGGCGCATTACCACGTAGGATACCTCAAAATGGTTTGTTGTTTTCGCTCCGCGCCGCACCGCTTCGCATTCGCATCTAGATCGCTCACGTAGGCCGAAGCGTTAAGAGTCCAATAAAACAAAATTATTGGTACCTACATAGTCTACAGGATACCAATTTAGTAGAAGACAATCAATTAATCAGATAGAAGTTTGGTTAAACCAAAATAATGCAAATACATATAAATTTCAGAAGATAAAATCTTAAACGCCAAAGAACCTTTCGATTCACAGAAGCCCCATAGGTCCCTCGTGACCACAAATTTTTGGTAGCTACATATTTTTTTTTTATTAAAAAAAATAAACATTGCCCCACATTAGGATTTTCGCCTGTCGTGGGTGCGTTTACAAACATACAAGTTCACATACACATGACACCCAGACCTGGAACAACAATCTGTGGATCACACAAAGAGTTGTTCCGTGTGGGAAACCCGCGACACGTTACGCGGCAGCCGGTTGCTCACCCACCGCGCCAATGGTGCAGTCAAATTTTACTCCAGGAGATCACAATCATCTCTGAACTGACCTGTTCTGCAGCGCTGCCTTCCTGCAGGTCTGACACGAAGATACCGCGCCCGGCCTCCGTGTGACGACCCTCGATTATCATGATGCCCAGACCTGATGGACCCTGGAACAGCACGTAAATGATATTAGGTCAGATATAGAAATTAGTTCTTATAAAAATTCTGCAGATATGTAAGTAGCACTTAATTTCTTGTAATTGGGGGAGACCCTATCGTCATACATCAGGCGCAATAACAAATTCCATATCTTTTTTTTTAAGGGGGAAAATCATCGAATGCCTGCTCCCGCCTGGGTGAGGCGGGAGGGAGTGTCAGACTCTTACTGACTAAAAACCACCCCGTACCACGGATTTTTGTTTCGTTATAGTGGCAAGCCTAAGAATATTTGGCGTGCAAAATACAGCAGTTCCAATGGCCAAAACTATGTACAAAAAATTATTAAGTACGCTTATCTACTATTGCCTCGTCGGCCGAGTGGTCATAAGTGCCAATGCCGAGCAAGGGTTCTATTCCCGGGTCGGGCAAAATATTAATGGGTTCTAAAAAAAATCTCAATAGCAGCACGGAGTCGGCAATTGTGTCTGGTATATGGCAATAGGCTCACCTCCTATTACATGAGACTCATAACATAAATAGTGAAAAGCAGGGGTTACATTGTACAGTGGCATTAAGTGCTGTAATGTGCACCTCTGCCTATCCCATCGGGATAAAACGCGCGATGTTATGTTATATTATGTTATCTACTACAGAAAAATGACCAAATCGAAAACTCAATCACAGTTTCGACAAAAGTACTTATCGCAACACTTTAATTAAAAAATGTATGAAAATATTTATCTTGTAAACGTAAACCACTGAGTACCAACATTATTTAAATAAATAAGATAACATGAATATGAAGTACAAGCACTTTTATCTTTTTATCTTTGTAACAATCATGTAAAGCCTTCGGCTGGACAGGTGATAACAGTAATAACTATCTAAGTCAAAGTCAAAGTCAAAGCATTTATTTCAATTAAACCATAGTTTGGTACTTTTGAAACGTCAACAAATACAAAATAAATAATAGTCTGTCAGTCAGTCCGTCAGTGAAACTAGGTGAAGCTAGGTGCTCATTCCAAATAGTAGATTCGAATGGAGAAGAACGAGCAAGAAACTCCATTCGTTACTCTTTTAAAAAAGTATGTTCTACAATGTACAAATGTACATGTGTACGCATATGTAAAAACAATGCTAAGACACGCTTGACGCATTATATTAATAACTTACAAAAATTAAAAAAAAAACCTAAAATCCAACATGGTGCTCATCATGGTCATCATCTATTTATTTATGTACCACCACACGCCCGCGACTTCGTCCGCATGGTATAGTGACTTTGAATAGTTCTTCACAGCTCCTCCCCCGTATGTGATAGCGTAATAATATATAACATCACGCCTTTTACCCCCGAAAGGGTAAGCAGAGGTGCACATTATGCCACTGTACAATGTAACAACCACTTTTCACTATTTATGTTATGAGTCCCATGTAATAGGGGGTGAGCATATTGGCATATACCGGGCATAGTTCCAGACTCCGTGCTATTACAGAGTATGTTTTCTAAAACCCCAAGAATACTTTGCCCGACTCGGTAATCGAAACCGATACCCATTGAGCAACAGTCGCACTTGTGATCACTCGGCCAATGAGGCAGTCATCTTAAGTAAGTATTACCTTTTGGAGAATAATATTTACATTATTACTTGGAAACTGGATCTTAATAAGATAGGACCTATATATATTACAGACGGTCATCTTACCTTCTTGATAGTGATGTCCCTGACTCCCTTGTAGCCAGCAAACCGGTCCTCGGACTGAAACAATAAATACTAATATTAATAACAATCTCGTTACTGATATCCATTATTGTCGCGGTGACCCGTAGGTTTCAAACGCCCGGTTCTGAGGGCTCGGGCTTTCTAAGATTATCCAGACACCACTGACAAACGGTGAAGGATAACAACGTGAGGAATCCAGCAGCATGTAGCATGTAGAATAGAAAACCAAATTATATGGAATTGACATAAATTTTGACACTTGTAAGTGTCATCCCCATACATTTTGATTTCTACTCTCTCTGTAGACAAGCGCTAAAGTGGCGTTTGGCTAAAGACTTATAACTTTTAATTGTAAGTTTGGAATCGCCAACCCGCATTGAGCAGGCGTAGCGATTGATGCCCAAACCTTCTCCATGTGAGACCAGCGGTGGCCACTTATAGGCTGTTGATGAACCCATTTCAGTTGGCTAATCTCAAAAGGTGAAAAAGATGAGTGCACAAGTATGAGTTAATGTTAGTGCACTCTATATCTAATGAATCAACGGTTATGACATGTAATTCCATTTGAACATACGTCAAAATTACCAACATAAATAGCCACTGCTGATCCCAACCGTCTGATTTTGGATCTCAGGAGACCTATAATGACCTGATGATGTTCATCAAGAGTCACTCCACTTTACAAGGTCCATAATAATAACGGCCTTGGGACTTAGTTAAGTAATTGAACATTTATCGTTTATCAACCGCTGGTCGCAGTTTTAGGATTATATTGCGTATAAAAATATAAATATTATATTATTGGTTATTCACGAAAGAATATGAGAATCGTATCTACACACATAACATAACATCAAGCCTTTTATCCCCGAAGGAGTAGACAGAGGTGCACAACACGGCACTTAATGCCACTGTACAATGTAACATCCACTTTTCACTATTTATGTCATGAGTCCCGTGTAATAGGGGGTGAGCCTATTGCCATATACTGGGCACATTTCCAGACTACTGCTACTGACATTTTAAAAAAAAAACCCAGTAATACTTTGCCCGACCCGGGAATCGATTCCGGGACCCATTGCCCGACAGTCGCACTTGTGACCACTCAGCCAACGAGGCAGCCATTTTTATAACTATAGATATTATTTAATAAATATATAAATGTTATATGAATGGTTATTCACAAAAGAATCGGACAAACGTATCTAAATTCGTATCTATATATAAAAATATAGGTTAGTCCACACAGTTTCAGGTTCTTCAATGTGTACATAAGGTGTTAACCGAACGTGCCGCTATTTGAACAGTTGTTACCATTTACTTACACATACATATATATGCTTGTTATATGTTTATATACGTATCTATATCTTGGATAGAACAATGTGTGGAAGGCCAAAGACTGAGTTGTTTATAAATATGAGGGTTTTTATCCAGTTTTAATTGACAAGATGATCAGCAATAATAGGCGTACTTGCCATGTAGTCAAATTCAATACTTTTTTTGAACCGTAGTGTGTATTGTGACGTCACGTTTTTTTAGCATCAAACAGTGTACTTATTTCTTAAAAATTTGCTGGAAAAATAATAAAATTAAGTTGGTCATAAAATCAATTAATGAAAGTTTGATTATTTTTTATTAATTCATAGTACTGAACAGTCAAAATAATTAATTGAGGAAAGCACCCAATAGGCCTATTTGAGTTATTAATGCGAAGTTTGTTTATGTTGAAGAAGAAGCTATGGGGAGAATTGCTTAAGAGAGCATAGGCAATGCATTCTTTAATTTCTATCCTTTATAATGTGTATTTTTATTTTGATTTCAGTTTTCTTTTAATGTTATATAAAGAACTTAATTAGCTAGTAAGAATAAGAAATGAGCGCTTCTCACCGTTAAACGATATGTTTGGCGAGGATCTTTAATTATAAGAACAAAATGTTATTCCTAAAATTGTACTTTTGTTAAATAAAAAAAAACGGAGGCTCAATTACCCCCCTCGCCCTCCCATTCCTCCCCAATGGCCCCTATCCGTGAATTCCAAACAATACTCAAATTCTTTATCCCCAAAACGCCGGTAGCGCACTTATAACACCTTTCTGGGTGTCCATGGGCGACGCTGATTGCTTACCATCAGATGATCCGTCTGCTCGTTTACCGGCTTATCCCATAAAAAAGGAATGGTTGTTAGATTCATAAGAAACCCATTATTACATTTACAATTATTTTAGAGTTAGAGGAACGTCTAATATACCTCGATATACATACATATATATTATGTTTCCTACTGAACAGATGATGTGCTCAGTACAATGTATTAATAAATATCTAATTAGTGGTGTTTCCAATTAGGTTTTCCTGCATATATATACATATATCGAAAATAAACTTATATACTATATATAAGTAACTATGTAATATATAATAGAAACTATTGTGTTTGATGTTTTACATAATCACGGACGAACTGACATTGAATTACAAATCAGTATAAATAAAAAGGTAGAGGCAATTTCCACTACCTAGAAGATTGAGGTCATTAGCGTGGGTCGGAGAATCTTATGTCCAGTGGTGGATGAAAACGAGATGATGACAAAATCATTGAACTTGCAACACTTTTAAAAGTGATTGAAAGAATGTTCGTAGTATATGTAGCTGTTGAGTTTCCAAACGAGGCAGGAAAATTGTTACTTAAATGTATTATTACTCAATCTAAACGTATCATCTGGAGGTTTTAAATGTTCTGTGGGAGGTATAGACACCCGTAACCGTACTTTTGGGAGAAATCCCCCTTTTCCCAAAGGTCTAGTCGGTCTAAAGGTGAGATTAAACCTAAGATAACCTCAACCACACAGCAAAAGATGGCAAGCGTTGTTTCACGCCGGGAATCTTTGGAAAAAAATGAATAACTGCTCCCGCCTTGAGTTAGGCGAGAGGGAGTGTCAGACTCTTACTGACTAAAAACCACCCCGTTCCTACTCCTGCACTTAGAGCCGGAGCCCCGGGAACCCGTTAAGTCTTCCGCGGCTCCGTATCGGTATCAGCCCTCTTGGGCCCCATCTATGGTGGTTTTCCGCGGGGCTATGGTACCAATCCATGTGCCCGGGGGCCGGTGGAGTCAAGCCATTCTTGCCACAACATAGCTGCCCATAGATAGTAAATGTTCCCATATTTGTATTTGTATTATGACTGTACGGTTGACGTAGTGGTTGGGTGACCGACGACTGACGAAATGTCGCGGGTTCGATTCCCGCGCCGGCCAAAAAGTGATAATGGCATTTTCTGCATTCCATTATTAATTAGCCCAGAGTCACGATATTCAGCAGTGTTTCGTCCTCGTGCGTCGGATGGCACTTAAAGCTGTTGGTCCAGCGCCTGACCTCTCTCCGGTCGTGTCGGTCTGCCGTCCCATCGGGTCCAGAGAGTGAGAGAACAGAGAGTGTACCTGTGTTTGCGCATACACTTGTGTACTATAATATCTCCTGTGCAGTGGTCCAGTCTAGTTAGACAGACTGGCCACCACGATCGAGATCAATCGGGAGATTTATATTAATTTCGCATTGTTGTAATAGCATGCTTTTAAATACCTAAATAAAATCATTAATTCAATGAAATAACACCTACAGCTGTTTTGAATGAGGCATATCAGTAAGTAGTGAGTGGTTGCCGACAATGTACCGTGTGTTATGTATAAATAATGATTTTATTAACGCCTTTACGTAACACACAGAGCGTTGAGTCATCGTATGGGAGAATCTCGCAGAAGAACCAGATTGTTCGGGTCTCGAGATTTTAAGGCCATTGTTAAGGCCTTTATTGTGACCCGTTGGAGATGGCGTGCATTCTATGAGGGTTATCAGAGAGCACGTGCTGCTTCATAGCAGTCATAACACTTGTTAGAAGCGAAGTCATGTCATGTGACAAATGAACAATAAGAATTTATCGTAGCAATTGTCACTAGACACTAATACTTTATTTTTTTTAATAAAACGTTTTTTTTTTGTATAAAACGTTGCCCCACACTAGGATTTTCTCCTGTGTCGTGGGTGCTTTTACAAACATACAAGTTCACATACACATGACACCCAGACCCGGAACAATAATCTGTGGATCACACAAAGAATTGTTCCGTGCGGGAATCGAACCCGCGACACGTTGCGCGTCAGCCAGTTGTCCAGCCACCGCGCCAACCGTGCAGTCAAATTGTGACAATTTGTTTTATCTGATCACCTGATGGTAAGTAAGAGGCATTACAAGTGCGTTACCGGCCTTTTAGGGGTTAGGGATTTGAGAATGGTAGGGGATTAAGGATTGGGGAGATTGGCGTAGCGAGGGGGGGATACTTGGGCCTCCAGTATCATCACCCACACTAGGCAAGCGTTGTTTCACGCCAGTTTTCTGCTTGGTCGTGGTATCACTTCGGTCGAGCCGGCCCATTCGTGCTGTAGCATGGTTCTCCAACACTTAATTCACTTAATTTATTTTCAATAATTCACGATATGATAGAAAAATCAAAGCAACAGCTGACCAGTGTACCTTCTAACCTTTTTCTACAATATGGCGTATAGTTCCGGGTTATAATACCGTGCCGGCAAATTGTTTTCGTGTTAACAGCTATGACTGCTATGTACTACATGTGTGTAGAATTATATACAAAATGTATTATCACGCAGCATGCCAGGGTCAAGATTAAGATGGGTCTATCTTTGTGAACGGATTATAGTATGATAGTGATTCATCAATCTTGTTTAGACATTCGACGATTATGTATGTGTATCAATGTATTTAGACAAATGGCAATCGGTTTGTAGAGGTTCAATTTTTTTTAATCATAGAAGATTGGCTTTCTACAGCAAATGGAGGCAATTTTTTTTAACATAAAATAACATCACTCCTTTTATCCCCGAAGGGGTAGGCAGAGATGCGAAGTATTAATAGGTTTTTAAATATTCTCAGTAGTAGCACGGAGTCTGGAACTGTGCCCGGTACATGGCAATAGGCTCACCACCTATTACATAGGACTCGTAACATAAATAGTA